CAAGAGACTGGGTCGCCTAATTGAAAATCGCCGAGTTCTATCGACGGAATTGCAGTTAGGATCCGAGGCTGCCGAAAAGTGGTACAAGGCTACGAATGGAAGAGGCTCGCAAAGGGAAAACCCCTGTCTCTCAGTGGCTGGTGCACGATCATCGACGTATCGACGAACCGACGTTTGAACGCTCACACGTCTATACCATACCTTCGGCCGCATTTAGCGACCCGGTTCGATAAGTCCCGTGGCGGTTTCTCAAGTCTGGCCCGTCCTTCTTTCCCAGCACGGCTGTTTCAGGGTTAAATTCACCGATCGGCTTAGCCAATACATTTTTCACCAGTCGTGTGCCCTGAAATTTTAACCAACTGACCTCACGACGTCTCTGATAATCACGTTCGACGAAGATGGCACCTTGGCAGGCTAATTGATCACGATTACGCTGAGAGTGGAAAAACGCGCAGTGTAAATAGGCTTTATAATGTATAATAGGCGAATGCAAAGATCAAGAGGCACGTAGTACTCGAAGGAATAGAATTATAGCTGCCTCTCATGGCTGAGAGTAAACAAATACGACGCAGTTTTTAGTCCCTGGAGTATTATTATCGCGTGTGTCCAATCCTGGCGCCTAATGACAACCTAGCTGCTTTTCGAGCTGGTTCGCGTGATCCGGCCGAACGAGCACGGAAAGTTGAGCCGCACGAAATGGCGGTATTTTGCTTTTCACGGAGGATCGCACTGGAAATATTTTGCACCGCGAAGAGGAACGCTTAAATTTTCGACGATCGTGTTTACGATACGGGGCACGTCGGCCGGGAAATCGCGAAGGAATTGTTGGGGAATCGTCGGGGAAGAAAATAGAAAAGAAGATAAAGAAGAAGATGGATCAGATTCGACCTCGTTGCTAATGCTAAGATCGACGACAATCGATGGGTGCACGTGCACCGAACGAGACTTTCGCTTTTACCCGAAGAAGCCCGCGAAGGTGGCTGACACTAACTCCGCGAGACCTTGCAGGGACCTTCCCCTCCATCTTGATTAAGCTGCCAACAACGAGAACAAGATTTGTCCGCGCTGAACGGACTACGCATACCCAATAAACGCTAAGTGACTTGTCCACTTTGCATGGAACGATGACATTAAGCAGCAAGTATAGTTATCGGCGCTCTTTTTTGCGACATTATGAGCGTGTTTTACTCATTCAGAGATCGTGACAGAATCTTCTCTAGCGCATAGAAATGTCGTACATCGTACGACATCGATAATAATCTATTATTTATCGATTACAAATGATCACAGATACGTACGATTGGTTACAGTGGTACAAGATGACTTTGTTAATCACACAGAACATGGTGTAAAATCTGATGGAATAAGTGATCGAAGTTATCCACGTTTTAATAATTCGATGCAGGAATCGAGCAAGAAAATCACATGTTAATGCATCGTTGTCTTATCTGGTTGTTTACAATTGATCAAATGATCCATTACACTGAACAATTATGCAAAGTCGTTTTATCGATCCTCATTTTTCGCTCTTTTTTATCGGCCAGATATTTTTATCCACTCGATTCGACCGATGATGAAAACCGGTGTACGCTCTCGTGTCTGATGGCCCGAGGATCGAAAAACGCCTGGTCGCTTTCACTTTTCGGGGGTAGCTGGAAATGACCAAAGTCCACTAGGAAGTCCTCGTCTCGAATTCTCCCATACTGCCGATCTTCCGCGAGTGTCAACCCCTTTTCCAAGTCTCGCGAACGATTCCTTCTCAAAAGTAGCTTCTATATTATTAGGCTCAAGAAGGCTCTAGAACTGCGTGGATAGCTCGTTTCAAGAAAGGTCCACGAGGGAAAATGACGCGAAGGAACAATAGAGCGATACTCTCTGTTATTTACCTGCAGCGAGACCTAAAAATATCCCGGCGCCAATTTCGCATGCGGCGAATTTCTCGAAACACGAGAAAACACGTTCGCGAGGCGTAGATTCCATAAATAAAACGGACTGAAAACGCGTGACCACGGGAGCAAAGAAAAGCCTTTAACATTGACGTAATCGTCGGACAGGAACGATTTTCGCTCACCACCTGTCGATCCAACATTTTCTTCCCTGCCTGTCAAACACACTCTCTCCTGTCACCATGAACGGAACAAATCACGAATAGCTCCAGTTACTTTTACAGTGAAAAGAGGTTGTTCGCCGTGGAGCTTACGCAACAACTGGGGCACTCGAGCGATTAGCAATTCGGTCCCCGAGCCACACGAGATAGCCGATCATTCATCGAAATCCGCCAGGCTGAATCGGTCATGCAAGATCGTTGAGGACGTCCATCGCGCTGTCGTTTCACCTACTCGACGAGAGGATCGATGGGACGAAGCTATCATCGGTGTACTCGAAGGTATCGATAATTCGTAGGATCACGTGCTGCAATTTTCGAAGGAAAAAGATGCATAATTTCCTGTTATTTAATCAGGCTTACATTACGTCAGGAACTGTAGCCGAGTTACGCAATGCTGGGGAAAGTGCAGACCGTCTTGACCACTGTTATGGTCGCTATTTCTCGATCTGGAATGAAATTGTTTGCCGATCGCCTCTGACAATCCCAGCTGGACTATATCGGCGACTAATTAAGCGGTTTATTTCACGGCTATGCACTCTGCTAGAACGAAACACCGCTCGATCGAGTTCTTCGACCATTATGCCTGCTGGATTTTCCGCAATTCCACGAAAGCGTGATTAGGATCGACGATCGTTATCCGAACTCGTAGACAAAGCAAACGAAACGGTTCGAAGAGCGAGAACGAGAGTGGCACTTTCGTCGTACTTTCGACAGAAATCGATGCGAACCGATACGAACCGATTCAAACCCGAGGCAATCGGCTATTAATCTTCCGTTGTTGAACTTTCTCGAACAATTCACTACGGACGAAACTGCGATAAAACTGGCTAATTACGCCCCATGAACGTTCACGTAATTGCGTTATAATTACGAACAATGCGGAATACCGAGCCGCGAAACCATGACGTGAGACATTTCACCGAAGCGAATTGATGGGATGAAAAAGGAGATCGGATGGGCACAAGAAGCGATAAATCCGCCATTGAGAAGCCATTCACACGTCCCGAGTGAGAAATTCGATATCGGGAGAAAATTGGAATCCACGTGTAACTCGAGTCCCTGAGAATTTCCTCGCGATAGAGAGCTAAGTCGTTGAAGTTTAACGAAATTATCCGTTAACGCGTTAAACGCCACGCCTATTTTACGTACCGTTCCGTTCACGCCATAGTTAGCGATGCGGACCCTTCCGGGCCGTACGGACCAACGAGGCCTGAATGGAAAGTCTAGCGCCGGACCCTAGAGGTGTTGACCGTTTGAGTCCCAGAGACTTTGGGAAGAACTCGGTCGAAAAACCCCGAACAGCGCGATAACGCTTGCTTAATCGAGTACGTAGAAGTCCAAACGGCGCGATAGCGCTTGTTTAATTTTATGTCGAAAAATCCCAATCGTCGCAATAGCGCTTGTCGATGCTATGCGACGTACGTGCATCAGCAAAGTTGAGCGCGCCACTTCGACTGAAGAGCGCGATCGCGCTGCTTGGGACTCGGAAACGGTTAATGACGCTTGTTAATCATGCTTATCAGCGATACAAAATTCTTCTCGCTTCTTTCTCCATACTATGGCGATTCCTAATCGCTGTCACGAGGATACCTGGATCATGTTCTCTCGGTATTTAATCAGACCCAGGTTCCACGCACGAGCCAAAGGCTATAAACTCGCGAGCAGATACCAACCGACGAATTAACCCGTGAAACTCGCCTGCTAGAGGCACCTACGAGCTACTAGGACAACCAACGCACCACAACAAAATGATTGATCCGTCAATGAAGACACCCAGTGTGTGTCAGTCCACCCGAGTGGCCCAGAGCGTAATAGCTAATACGTACCGAGGATGAAGAGAGTACGCCGTTTGTTCGCGACTAAAGTGTACGTGTGCACGCATCTAAGGCTTAAGTAGAATAAGACCACGAAGCCAGTCATACGCGTTCCACTTCCACTTCCACGAAATATGCTTACGATAAATGCGATAAAAACGTTCCTTTGTGTAATAAGACGATTCTTGTATCTTAAAAATCGTAGGAAACTCTTTGAATAATAAAAAAGACAATGTCAAGATTACGAAATAGGGAATAATATTGTTCGGCTGTGTGCTAAATGTGGACATAGGCAATTTATCTGTCCACAGATGTCATAATCGATAGATAAGCATGAGGTTGCTAGAATTTGCAGGCTTATTATTCAAAGACAATTTTTTGCGTGCGTGTTGGGATAAAAGGAGCGTGAAATCGGTAGAACGCAATCGTCTGCGATTTTGCAAGTATAATATCCAGTGTCTTTGCCGCGTGTCTTTGTGCATTACGTGCCAGACGTTTCCGTATTTTGCCTGAGCCTTAAACGCGTCGACGCTAGGAGGCGTTTTGCATAAAAATTGCTCTCGATTCCCTCAGATTCTCTCGTGATTTGTCGAAATCGTATACTACTTGTCACGCGGCTCGTTGATCGGAAGCCGATCGATCACGTTTGGCTGGAGAGTCGTTAGAAGAACAGGGTAAGCTAGAGTCGCGATGATTATGCTTCCCGTGGACCATCCGTCGCCCTTGCTTTATGACCAGCGGCGACAATCGAATAGCAATGCGTTTGATTAATTGCCGGAAATCCATTGTCTCTTCGTCCGCCGAAGCGTCTGACCCATCGAATCCGTCGAGCCTCGTCGACTAATCGAAATGCGAAAAACAGGGTAAAGAAAGTGTAGCTTAGAAGTACTTCGACGATCGACTTCACGGTCACGATCACGAACTGCATAGTTTGTCATGCGTTTCTTCGCGAGACACGCTTGGAAACTGTGACAGTGGATGTCCGGAGTTGTCCTATGCAGATCGCGTGAACGCGAGAAAAAGCGAGACGACCGTGTGAGATCGCCGATTAATACGGAAAATTATAGCCGAGTCTATAAGCCGATCGATCTTGATGCTTTTTGCGGCTGTCTTTGATCGTTAAGCGATATTAAACCTCATCGCTCGTTCTACTTACTCGCTTGTTTACCCAAGGTAGCCATTCATCGCGCTTAGGTAAACGAAACGGGGAAGAACGGAGCAGTCCTTCGACTCGAGGAGAGAAGGAAAAGAGAAGGCAAAGAGAGAAACGAAGCGGGGACCAAACGGTGCCGAAAAGGATGAAAGGGGCGAAGTAGGGAGACGATCGATGGCGGTTCCATCGGCAAGAGCGCGCTTGAACGAAAACGCGAGGCGGTCGAAGGACGACAGGTGGAGGGAAGGTGAGTTGGCGACAGAAGAAAGAAAAGCAGTGGATTGGACGAGGATAGATCGCTGCTGGATCGGTGTGCAGAGTGGAGGTACGCGACGACAGAGTGCAAGAGAGAAGGAGGCAGTCCAGCTCGCCGAGTCCGCCGACTCGACTCTACTCGCTTCTGACCGCTTCCAGTCTCGCGTCAGGACTCGAAAGTTGCGGAGGACAAGACGAACCCACTACGAATCAGGGCTCCTCTCCAGCTGACACGTCCTCGCGGCTCAAAACGATTTTTTGAGATCGAGATCCAGTGTGATCCGTGCGACTTTGTGCCTTCAATCTCGCCGTAACGCTCTTGTGTTGTGCTGGTGACGATATTCTCTCCGTCTGGCAAATTTTCCAACGAATTCTCTACGATTTCCTACGATTTTCTACGATACACCGCCACGACTGAACGTGCGTGTATGCTCGCCTGATCGATCGGAGGACCGATGCTACCGGTCAGTTGTGAACCATCGATGACGCCTGGCCAGGATTACACTTAAAGGATTCCGCTTCGAGGGAAGACGAGGAAACGATACCCCGAGAGGAGAGGCATTCCACGAGATCGGATCGAAGGTACGCATGCTTGGATATATCCTGTTCGGTGGTTAATTTGCGGCCAGCTGAAGCCGCCGTGGGAAGGGTTGAGATTACCGGTTTGTCGCAATCGTGGATAGCGACGACCGGAAACGCGAATCGAGCGGACTCCACCGTCATCCACCGATCCACGAGGGATCCGTCGACGCGAAAAATCTGCCGCGAGGCGATGAAATCCAACAGCTTTTCCGCGACTCGATCGCCGCGGTGTTCGGCGAAAAAAGAACGAGTTCGAGTTCGCGTAAGGTGACCATTAGTCGAACGTCCGGTGCTTCCGTTGAAAAGTGAGAAACCGTGTGCGGACTTTACCAAAGCCGGATTCGCCGCAGGAAATTCGAAAGCGACGATGGCAAAATCGCCATCTCCGCCGATCGCGAGCACTCTCGCCGATTCTTCGACGAATCCGCACGCTCGCGTTTTTCCAAACGTTTCTGCCACCGATCTTGACCAGTCAGCGCCTGGATCGTTACGCAACGATCACCTGGATCGAATTCAGATCGATCGAGGACCGTGGATCATCCACTCGCGTTCGAGGCTGTTACGTGGGCAGGCGGAAAGTGAAAATCGGCGAGATTCACGATTAATTCGCTTCTTCCAACAGAGTGAGAATTATTCCTCGACTGCCCTTCGGCTCTGGGAAACGTTATTCGAACGTTTTCTCTGTAATTACGAGCGTAAAGAAAAGAAGGAGAAGCAGGCTGTTTCCGCGTTTGCTCTATTTATTGCTCCTTCGAAACAATCGATCGTCGAGTTATCGAACCGATCGACATCCGCGCCGATCGATCGCGCCAGTGTTAGATCATTCGCGCCGTTAATCATTCCCCGCGATGGCAAATAGGGGAACCGCGTTCGCAGCCGATTCTAGTGTGTTCCACGATCGTTTCCTCGATCGTTTCCTCGATCGTGCAAAGTTGGAAAGCAGAGCGGAGGAGTTGCGGCATTTTGACAATTACGGATTGCGTCCTTGGTGAAATCGAACGCCTTCCTGCGTTACTCGTCACTCGTGTTTTCCCGCGATTCTCCAACCATTCGGCGCATTTCGAATGATCAATTCTACGCGGCCAATGGACGAGCGCGAAACAGCTGTACCTCGGGACGAAAGAGAGCGTCACGCGAGAGTACGACGGAGGATTCGGAAAGTGGATTTTCGTCGGAGCGAATCGAATTTCACTCTTGGCTAACGTGAAATTCCGAAACCGGGGGAAAGGAATTTAATATTCGTCGAATATTAAGCGGGAATTTCGAAATGGCCGTCGATCAAGATCGAGGAATCAAGGCGTGGAAGGTTTTTCCTTTTGTTCTTTTTATAGATCTTTCCATAGGCGGATCGTTCGTAGAACGCACGCGAGTTGAATCAACGCCGATGTTCCCCTCGTCGGGCAGATAAGATCCGAGAAAGGTTAATTATCGTTCCGTTTGTCGCGCTGCTGCGCGAAGCAGTTTCGCGCGGAGAAAGAATAGGAGACGGTCGGGCGAGTAGAACGCGAGACAGTCGGAAGAATATACTTTCTCGACTGTGCACTCTTGACAAAAGAAGAATACGTGGAGGATGCGTAGACGATGCGTCGACGGTGACCAAAGAATTGCCACGCGTGCGAGTCTCCCTCGATCGAGAGTGAAACTCGCCTTCCCTCGCATCCTCGTTCCCGCGCGATCCCCGAGATTTCGATCGCGGCCAGCTCCACATCGGTTAACTAGATCACCGATCCGGGTTCCTCGCGATCTCTCGATCTGAAATCGAGGATAACTCGGTCACCTGAAATCTCCGGCTGCTTACCGAATCGAAGAGAAAACGAGAAGCGATTTTCGCTGCCGATCGTTGCCGGTTCCCTCGCGGGATCACGAATTTCGCGCGATCGACGGAACGATTAGTCGCGATCCGTGACGGTTGTAGAAAGTAAAGCGCGTGGTGCCGATCGGGATCGGTGTCGCGCGAGTAAAAGTGAATGACAGAGGAGAAGGCTGCTGAAAATGCCGAGATGGCTGTAACACGACTGTCCGATGGGCAACCTCGTTACTTTTCGGCCCACGTTCGGCATCGCGGCGCGCACGCCACCGTTGTGTAATTTCGTGTTATCGTAAACGTAATCCCGGCCGATGAAAAACCGACCCGCCGCTGCCCGCTTGCGCAATCGCATAATTTAACGACGAATCGGCGAATATTGTGTAAGGAGAAACGGAAAGATCAGCGAATCGAGACCTCCGCGAATATTGCTTTTCCGGCGCAATGAAATCGCGGTCGCGAGTGTGCGGGCATCGAAATCACTCGCCGAAGTGATCGCGACGTCGGTAATGTCGCAGTGAGAGTGTCCTTTCCTCGGATTTCGCGTGCACCGGTTCTTCCTACTGTCAATCGTATCTAGCAATAGTGACAACTTCGGATTTCATTCGAGGATCGCTCGTACACGTACAGCTCGAGTCATCGCGGATGCCTGCCGCGGATTTTCGCGACGTATCGATAATTGACTGGCATTCTCCGTGGGTTGCATTCGAATAGTAACGTTAAATAGTGCCGCGGAGAGACTGCACAACGGCTGAACGGAACAAAGAGTCCGAGATCCATTGCTGCCAAAGACCTACTCGCGAATCCCTATCGCGGCTCGTTAAGCTCGGTTTCCATGAATCCAGATTCAAAGTTTCTCTCTTCGGCGTGATTTCGTGCACTTTAGCGTGTTGTCCACCTTGTTGGCCACGTGTCGGATAGCAGATCGGATTTTCTCTCTCGACGGATGAAAGTTTCCCCGCTTTGCCATTAAAAACGCGTGGTCCGTCGATCCAGGTTTCCATGCGTAGGAATTTTGTGGGACACGTCTGGTTTCTAGCCGGAGATATCCATCGCATTGTTCGCTCTCCTATCTCGCCTGCTTAACGAGACCTTTCGAAAAATATGCATTCCCCTAACTCCGTCGCAGCCGCCTGCGAGATATTTATCGACGAATCGGGACAATTAACGAACGATTAGAAAGATCTCGTGACTGCGGTTTCTCGAGGCAAAAAGAGGGGAAAAAATCACGTTTCGACGAAAGTCGGTGCACAATAGAGCGGCGAGTAAAAGCGTAAATCCGCGGCGGGCAGTCGACTTTCCTTAACAGAGCACCGGTCACGATCGGGTGCGGGGCCGAAAGAAATGCTCGATCCGATTTTAACAAGTATGTCAGCCGGTTACCGGAGAAGCAAATCGGAACGTCATCGTAAAATGGTTACGCAGTCGATCGGCTACGTTCCTCTGACATGGTAAGCCTTTGTCACGAAGAACCGAGTCCACGCTTCGTCTTTTCTTCCACTGACCACAGTGAAATCGATCATCCTCGCTCCCTCGCTCCCTTTTCCCTGGTTTTCCCGTGGGCGGGCACGAAAACCGATTGGCCGCGCCGATTCCTATAACATTATTAACTTTTACTTGCCCCGCAGCCGTGGAATGCTTTCTCTTCTGATTTTCTCGATCACAGGGCCGTCGCATTTTTTCTCTCTCCCTCTTTCTCTTCCTATCTCTCTACGTCCTCCACGTGACTTGTGCGGCTCCGCGTTCGCGTAATCCCGGGTCGACGAACCTCGTGCAAGATCGATTTAATTTCTCCCAGCGATTTTTCACCCGTTCAGAAGAACCATAATCGGTGATCCATAGCTCGAATTCCCGACATTCCGCGCGTCGCTCGTCCAAACACGTAGTCGGATGATAAATTTAACGCGGTGACTATTTTATCGTGCCGCGAATTCCGCTCGCCTGTTTTCCTCGTCCGTTATGGTTCCGCAATAAATCGAGAAATCACTTGGCCGCTAATCGAATTGTCGCGATGATTATTACCCGCCGATCGTCACGAGTAGTATTATGAATCATGGTCGGGGCGAGCATGCCGATAGCTGAGCAGTGGCAATCGTTCTGCAGTGCAATTGTTCCCCATGATCGACTCGAGTCCACGTTGCCCGACCTGTTGCACGATCATCGCGAGATAAGTCACGATTTATTAATCGGCACCCTTCGATCGCGCTTTCGATCGCCGCGCAAGCTACCGTTTTCGTTCTTTCCGCGCTTTCTTGAAAAAGAAAGTTCCCTCGCGGGATCCCCACCTCTGCATCTCCATAAATCCTCGCAAGATAAATATTCCACGCGAGGTACGCGCTAACCTGTCGCGAGATATTCAAACGACGCGAGAGATCGTTCACTGGCGTCTGTCAATTCGATTTTTCACGATTTTGTACAAAACATTCCCGGTTTGGAGGTGTCGCATCAGCAATGCAAATTTCACGGGGACCTCCTCTTTTCTTGGCATAACCCAAGGTGTCCAGTTCCCTAGGTCGACAGCTATCCTATTTTTCATAAAATTCCACGTCTCTTCGAGCTCCCGAGTATTCGATTTCTATGTCCACGCGATTCTAGCGTCTATTATATCTCGTGGACGTGGTTCGAAATTATGTATACTGTTACTCCGAAGAGTGGACTAAGTTATTCCGTGAGAATGACGCAAATTAAATATAGTTTGAGTACGTTCGGCATCGGCCAGGGTCAAAGTACAGCCATTCGTCGCTGGTTGAGCTGTTCATAAAGCAACTCCAGACTCCATGACAGGCTGCTATGCAACGTGTCAACTTTCTTGCACGATTCGCGCGTTTTGTTACGCACGGACGCGACAAAAACCCGGGCAAAAACATGTTTGCTCGATGAACTAGTCACGTGGAAGGTTGTATAGAAAATAGCGTTGTGTAACTGGCGAAAAAAGCGTCACGACTGTCGACCGGTAGCCGAGGAGCAGAGAGAATTTTGATCAGCGATCGCCGAAATGTAAGACTCTGCGCCATTTCTACTCGCGATTTAACGCGTTTACCGATTCCGCTGCCAATTTCGTCCACGTGGATCGGACGAACATCGCTGGATCGTTCGACGATCCAACGTTCCCAGTTCCTCCTTTCAGTTCTGCTTCTTTACAACATCCGGTGACACACGGAGCCTGTTACGCAAGACGAAAATCGGCGCAGACCGG